GGTAAGGAGTGGGGGTGGGGGTAGTGATGGGGGACGGTATGCAGGTGGCCGTGGGGGTGCGTGGATGGCGCCCTTCGTGGGCAAGCTGAGCTGGAATCACATAATTCTACCCAGGACAGCCCACCAATTGCGCTGAACATACTCCACATGCTTCCCCCCAAAATGATTAAATGCCACCCCGCCTGTTCCCTCCCCTCCCCCCGCATTGCGGCCCATCTCGCCGCACCTGATGCCGCCCATGAGGAAGGCCATCCCTAGCACCAGCAGCATGTTTGACAGCACAGAGCCCAGCAGGGAGGTGGCCACCACCTGGTACAGCCCCCTGCGCAGGGCCGCCAGGGACAGCACGATCTCAACAACCTGGGGTTCAGGGTTCAGGGTTGAGGGTTGAGGGTTCAGGGTTTGAGCGCCGTGCGGTCGGCCGTCGACGGGGACGTGGGAGGTGTGTATCAATGATGACGGATTTGGGGATTTACTGGGGATAAAGTGGCGTGTGATAGTGATTTGCCTTGGATCGTGGAGCGTTTGGTTTGATTGAAACGAGGGGTGTGTGGTTGACGCACATAGAAAGGTGCAGAGACACATTGCTGTGCAGGGCCGGCAACCCCCGCACAGCTCAACTAGAGTCGAGCCTGTTCTTGCGGGCGCATGCCGTGCCCACGTCGCAAATCCATCATGCCCATCAACAGCCACACAGCTCCAAGCCAAAAACACGCTGCGATATGCCGCGCGGCGGCGCGGGTCGCGCGCGCCGCGCGCTGGCCGGTGCGGTCCGCTCGCTCACGTTTCCTAGTGACGCGTTGAGCAGGCCGCCTATGACCTGCCCCAGCCTCAGGGCAAGGTCCTCTGTCACGCAGCCCAGCAGCAGCGCCAGGGGGATCAGCGCACACAGGTTCTGGGGGTGGGGGTTGCGTGTGTGTGCATGCGCGGGTTTGAATACGTGCGTGTGTGCAAATGTGTGCATGCGTGCGTGGCTGTTTTGGTTGTGGTGCGTGCGTGGCGAGAAGGCAGCATTGCTGCCTGCAAGCAATCGCAAGCCTGCCTCCAAGTGGGTTGCACGTTGACCTCCAACTTGAGACGTGTCAGCAGCGGTTGTGCAATGGGGTCAAGTGACGCTAGTTGCGGCCATGCATCGTCGGATGGGCGCTCATGCGCCTTCTATCGCGCGGCGCTGCAGCTAGGGGCGCACCAGCAAAAAAGTCGCCGTCGGTGGCCACCCCAGCGCCTCTGACGCCAGGCCAAGCGGCGCCGCCACGAGGAGCACGTTAAGCAGGCTGCTCTTGAGCATCTGCGGCCGCCACCAGGAATGGACGCATGACAGATTTGAAATGTGATCAAGGGCCATTGCAGGGCGCTGATGATCGGCCGTGCAGCCGCTGTGACGGGTGAGTGCCGCCGGGGCAGCAGGTGGGTCAGGGTGCAGGCGCCAGTGCAAGAGACCTCTGGAGAGACAGGCAGCGGATGTGAATGGACCGGTGACCCTTGGCAGCTGCCAGGAGCTCGTGCCACTCCGTCTTTTGGCAATGCAAGTGTGTGCATGTGGGGGGGGGTGAGGCAGACGCACCACCCAGCTGCCGGCCAGGTCCGACTTGGGGGAGAACCATTTTGACCCAGATCCGTGTGCTGCGCCGCCGCCGTTGACCGGCAGCAGCAGCGGTGCGTGGTCGTCCGGCACTGGCGCTGGCTCAGCGACGGTTCCGGCCCGCCAGTTGAGCACAGGGGCGTAGGCGGGTAGTGGCGAGCGTGTCATGAAGGGCGAGCACGGGCGACCGGCAGGCATGACCTCCCTTCCAACACGTGATTTGCTCTGCCAACAGACCGTACATTGCAGAGCAGAGGCCCCCACCCTCATGCACAATGTCTGTGGCGCGTGCGAGCTTCGCGGCAGCTGCGACACACCCCTGCTCACCTGAGCGCCTCCGCTCGCGCGCAGCTTTTGCACGGCCGGCCTCCCGTACCAGCTCTCTGATGGCCGCATTCCGAGGGTGGTGTTCGCGCGACATGCTCCGCTACTCGTGCGCACGCCCACGCTGCACACAGCTCAGGTATGTGTGCTGATGTCAGCAAACTCAATGCACACAGCAAGAAAACCAGACTCCGACGCTGAATTTACAAGTGAAGTGACTTTGCATTGTTTGAAAAGGAATGCTGACACCTATAGGGCGCAGGATACAAGCGGGCTGGCCAGGGGTGTGTCATCAGGGAGATCGAAGCACTCTCATGTCGGCTGTCACATGTAAAAGGAATACACGAACTTGAGAATACGGTGCAGTCACGAGGCTGTTTTGGGTCGTCTCTTTGCTGTGTACAGCGAAGCTGCGCCAAGCTGCAGCGCGAAAACGCCTTCTGCTGGTCCAATTTCAGCCGAACACAGCCTAGGAGTAGTGACATCGAGCTCAAGCCAATATTCTGCTCGGATTGGCGTTGCAGCTGCGGTTGCATCGGACAGGCGCGCCACAGCACCAGCCGCACGCGTTGGTGCACTGTGCCAGCACCCCCAGCTTGGTGCGCATGGCCCCCTGAAGGTGAGGGTAGGCCCATGTGAGACCCCAAACGCCTGCCATGCGCACGTGTGGTCCCTCGGGCACCATCCGAGGCAGCGCACGGCGCCCGGCAGTTTGCAAATCGCGCACGCGCCGCCGCCGCCCCACGGCCTTGTTTCTCGCCCGCACACGCCAGGCCGTAGCCGCAGGCAGCCAAGCAGCGGCAGCAGCCGGCGCGGCGGCCATGTCGGTCGGCGGTCGTGACCCCTCGACCCGCGAGCTGAGCGGCCTTCTGAGCAGCGACGAGAAATGGGAGGCGACATGGCGCGACCTGGCCACCCCTGGCTGCCCCATCCGGACGCTGAAGGTCATGCACAATACCGAGGCGCAGGCAGCGGCCACGGCCGCGGCCATGGCGAGCGGGGGCGGCGTCGCGGCGCTGGAGGTCGGGGAGCTTGGGGAGCGCGGGGCGGCGGCGCTGGCGGAGGCTCTGCAGGTGCGCGCCGCGGCCGCGGCCAGCAGGCGGCGGGTCCCCGCGCTTCGGGCCGGGTCGTGAGGGGATGAGGGTCCGGGGCGCGACCCGCACGCGTGTGCGCAGTGCGGCGGTGGACATGCTGTGTGTAGAGCCAGCGCTCCGCAGCTCCCTGCAAACGGTTGGGGCTTTGGGCTTTGGTCTAGACTCCTTTACTATTATACACCAGTCTTGCATCGCCTGTCGTGCGCCCGCTGGTATTCATTCTTGGCCCATTTCCCGACCGCAGGTCATGCCGGCCCTCTCTAGCCTCAAGATACAGCGCCTCGCCAGCGCGGCCGCCGCCGCCGCGCTCGCGCCAGGCCTCGCCGCAGCTGCGGGCTCGTCGCTCCACGCCCTGTCAATCGGCGGCGCGTGCGCGCGCGGCGTGGAACGGCTCGCAGACGGGCTCGCCGCGGCCGTGGCCGGTGCCGCGACTGCAAATGCGGAGCCCCGCAACAGCAACAGCGAGGGCACCATGCGCGGCGGCGGCGGCTGCGGGTCCCTGCGGCATCTCGACCTGCAGAGCCCTGACATCGACGCCGCGGCCGCTGCCGCCCTCTGGCGCGCCCTGACCGCGCACCCCTTGGAACGCCTCTCCTTGGTCGCCCCTAGGGAGGTGCCGCAGACGCCAGGCGCGGCTAGCGGCGGCGGCGGCGCCCCGCAGGCGGCGGCAGCGGCGGTGTCACCGATCGCCGCGCTGCTCGCGGCGCCGCCGGGGCAGCACCCGTACCCGCGAGAGGTCTCCATATCCCGCGCCGCACTGCCGCCCGCGGCGCTCACCGCGCTCGGCGCCGCGCTCGCCGGCGGCGCGGCGCTGCGGCTCGAGGACTGCAGTATCGGCGATGCGGGCGCGAAGCTGCTGATGCGCGCCGCCGCGGAGCGCCAGTGCGGTGGCGGTGGCGGCGGCGGCGGCGGCGGCGCGGCCGCGTTGTCGTTCGAGCGCTGCGGCCTCGGGCCCGCCGGCGCGGCCGCGGCGGCGGCGGCGGCGGCGGGGTGCCCCGGGCTCGCTGAGGTGGCGCTGTCGGGGGATGACGTCAGCGCAGGGGGCCTGGAGGCAGTCGCGGGCACGCTGGCGGGGCGCGGGGCCCTGCGGGAGCTCGCGGTGGCGCGCGCGGGCGTGGACGGTGCGCGTCAAGGAGGGGATTGTGCAGCAGTTGCGCCTTGAATGAGCGCCACTCGGCTTTGAGGGTGGCCGCTGGTGCTGGCAGGGGAGGGCGCCGCGGCCTCGTTATGCTGCGTGCCGGTGCGTCGGCGCAGCCGCGCACCCCGGCGTGGCGCCCATCATTCCTCTGGGCCTAACCTGAAACCCAAACCCTGAACCCTAAACCCTTCCGTCTCTTGCCTTGTGCCATCATCGTGCAGGCATCGGGCCCGGCCTGACGGCGCTGCTGTCCCACCCGGCCTGCGCGCTCGAGGCGCTGTGCCTCGCCGGCAACCGCCTGCCCGACGCCGCCGCCGCCGCGCTGGCCGCCGCGCTGGCGGCCAACACGTCGCTGCGGCGCCTCGACCTGTCCGGCAACTGGATCGGTGACGGCGGCGCCGCCGCGCTCGCGGGCGCGCTGCGGTCGCACCCGTCCCTGACGAGCCTGCGGCTGGACGGCAACAGGCTGCGAACTGCGGGGGTGGAGGCGCTGAGCGACGCGGCGCTGGCGAACCCGCGTGTGCTCGAGCTCGGCGCCGCGACGACGCGTGTCGTCAGCCGGCTGGCGCGGACGTGTGCGGAGGACGTGCAGCGGGCGCTGCAGCAGCGGCGGGCACGCGCGGCGGCGGCGGCGGCGGCGGGAGCGGAGGCGGCAGGGAGGGGTGGCGGCGGCCGTTGCGCTCCTGATGCGGAGGTTGGGTCTGAGCCCCTGCTGGGCCAGCCGCCGCAGCAGCAGGTGCAGCAGCAGTGGCGGCGGCAGCAGCAATTTGGGCAGCAAGTGCAGCAGCAGCAGCAGCAGCAGCAGCAGCAGCAGCAGCAGCAGCAGCAGCAGCCGCAGCAGCAGCGATGGATGGATGACCAGCCCGAGCTGACCCTGACATCACTTATTGAGCTAGCCTCACCGACCACTCCCTTTGCTTCTGCGCCCTTCTTGAACCAGCAGCACCAGCAGCAGCACCAGCAGCAGCACCAGCAGCAGCAAAATCAGCAACGGCAACACCACGCGGGCGATCAGGGCGCGCCGCACGGCGGCGGTGCGGGCGTCGGGCTGGCCGCCTTGGTGGCGGGCGGCCTGCTAGAGCCCGCCAGCGCGACGTGCCCCTGCCGCGGCGCCCCCCCGTGCGGCGCGTGCGCGGCGGCGCTGCAGTCAAGCCTGGCCGTCCGGCTGCTGGGGACGGCTGCGGGGCGGAGCGTGAGCCTCGACGGCTGGGCCCAAGGGGCGGGGCCCTTCAGCGGCGGCGGCGGCGGCGGTGGCGGCGGGGCGTGCGACGGCGTGGGGCGCCAGCCGAGCCTGTCGGGGTGGGGCGGGAGCACCGGTGGGTCGGGCACGCCACGGCCGCTGCTCGCGCCGAGCGGCTCCGCCAGCCCCGACAGCGGCAGCCCCCGCGCCGCGGCCGGCGGCGGCGCCTTGCGGTCGCCGCTGTGGCGGACCGCCAGCAACGGCAGCAGCGCGGGCAGCGCTCGCAGCAGCCGCGACGGCAGCGAAGGGGGCGGCCTGTGGGTGCGCACGCGCAGCGGCGCCGCCGTTGCGAAGCGCCGCAGCAGCGCTTCTTCTGCCGCCGTGGCCGCGGCCGCGGGCGCGCTCCCGGGCCTGAAGGACGTTGGAGGGCTTCTTCCGCACCAGCCCAAGAGCCCGCCGGTGGTGCAGCAGCAGCAGCAGCAGCAGCAGCAGCAGCAGCGGTCGCGGCCAGGGCCCTCCCGGCTGGCGGCTGTCCGCGGCGCGAGCGGCTGCGGCGCAGGCGCCGCCGCCGCGTCCGCCTTTGCCGCCGCCGCGCCCTCCGCCTTCGCTGCTGCGGCGGAGCTCGAGTTCCCGCGGCTTCCGAGCGGCGGCGGCGGCGGCTGCGGCGGCGAAAGTTCGGCGGGCGGCCACGACGCGGGCCTGCCAGGCGGCGGCGGGGGCGGCTGCGCAGCTATGGATGTCGGGGGCGGGGGCGTGCGGCGCAGCGGGTCGATCGTGCTACTGGAGAAGGTGGTCCCTGAGCCCTTCGATGCAGCCGAGTTGGAGGAGCGCCGCCGCCGCGGCGCCGCCGCAGACGCGGCCGCCTCCCGGGGCCGGGCGCGCGCCGGCGGGTGCAG